AGTTTTCTTAAAACTTCCGCGGCCAGTGGAACTAGTGAATTAATCGGATTTGTGCAGACGTAAAGAAAAGATAATTTTGAATTAACTCGAGGTATAGCCTCGATAATCTTCTGAATAATTGGAGCATTGACTGCAAATGGTCCATCATCAGCTGTAACAGAACGTGTCTGAACGCCAACAATTAACACTAAATTACTATACTTTAATGCTGGCACTAAATCTAATCAAATAACGGCTGACACCATTACAATCGACAATATCATACAGTGATATTTCACCGACTTCATTATTTACTTTACCGTACACACTTAAATGACGTCCCACTTCTCCAGTTCACCAAATAATTGTTACTTTTATTTTGTAGAAAATTGAGTACACACATATTTTAATAAAACGACCTACGCTGGCCGATGTCAAAAGTTTTGATACTTTTTATTTTTGTATCGCATATTGCAGTTTTTTGTTGAAAACAGTCGGTGAAAATAATTTCAAGTTTTGGATTCTTCTTCTGTAATTCAGCAAATCAGCAACCGAAAATTCGCAGGTATGTGGAAAAAAAGCCTAATGTGAACACAGAATTCTTTGTGTGAAACTTAGTAAAGTTGGTGTTAGATTTGATATACAATATTATTATTTATTTATTTTAGTGTTTATTTGATAAAAATCTTTTTGATTTTGCGAGTTATTCGTCCGCCACGGATACAACAGAACAGCGGGGAGCAAATTCAGTTGTGTAAGAGGTAATGAAACACACGAGTATAAAGTATCATATGAAGAAATTGATGAATGTGAGAGTAAAAAATTGTAAAAGAATAGGTTCATATATATATCTTATATATCTTGATGACATGATTTTAAAAAAGAACAGAATGCGAAATAAGCTGTTAAATTGTGAGGACGCACAATGTCAAGAATGCTGTGGCCACGAAAACCATATATACTCAATTTGCGAAGTGTGGAATGACGAATAAAAGTGGTAACATTCGGACAGACAAGTAGCATATGATCAGAAGATCGTAACACTCCACATGTGCATAAAGTGTTGTTCACTATGTTAATTTTGAATAGACGATCATTACATCTCGTGTGATTAAACATCAGCCTGTTAATAAGACGAATAAAGTCACGTATGAGTCCGCAATGGATACTGTACTGTATTTATTTTTGGAAATAAAGAGAATAAATGGGGACCATAAGGTGAATTATCCTATCGCTGTTGCGAAGAAAGAACTAAATGCTTTTTGTCGATTGTCCTCAGATCTGCAGAAATCACAGCACGATCGTTAAAATTAGATGTTCTGGAAGATGCAATTTTATCTGCACTGTTGTTGCGTAGAATGTCCATGTAGCTGGACACCTAAAGATAGTGAAAAAAAAGGATCAGACATAAGGCTATAAAGTGAGGATCTGATTTCTAATATATGAGACTAAGTTTTAACTGAGGGAAATGATTATAAATCGGATAAGACGGATTTACAGTGTGACAATATATGGAATTTCTTTTGAGGATGAGTACTCGCTGGCTTCCAGGATCGCAAGACATTCAGCTGAAAATATAGTGCTACATGGGTGATTTGAGAAGTAGGCTTCTATATTAATATCTGGAAATCAATGGCCCCTGCCTACAACATCGGTCTCAGATCCATCAGTAAAAATGATTGAAAAATGTTCCCACTTGGTATTGACCAACTCCGATTAACGGTCTTGGATCTCTGAAGGAGTAACTGTGTTTTCCTACACGTAAGAACTTAATTACTGGTCGAAAATATTGAGAACAAAAAGATATTTTGAAAAAGCTATGTATATCTGTTCTTCGAATGCTGACACTATTACAATTTTTGAAGGAGGAACGAGAGGAATTAAGTGATATAAAATCGTAAATGAAAGGTAAGGCCGGGTGATTCTCAAAAGATAGAACTTTATTAGATGCAAAATTGGCGAGTAAAGGAAATCTTTTTTGTAGAAGCCATCTGTTCCAAGCTTAGTGTGTGTGTAGATTTTCTACCGGAACGAAAGCATTTCCGTTGGATTCTACATAATTTCAGAAGATTCTTTTTTAGAGTGTCCAATAAGAGCGAAAAAACGTATTCTAATTTTGAACTGACTAAGCCAAGACACACTATAATAATACAAAAAGGGTCAGAGCCCCAAGAAATGCCACAAATGCATTTCATTACGTTAATGAGTTGAAAACATTGTTTGGAAATTTTGTCGATGTAAGCCGCAGGAGAAAGTATCTAGTGTAAAAAAAAAAACCTAAAAAGTCGTTTTAACAAACGGAATAGAAGAACCATAAATGGGCACAGAAGAAACCGTAGAATCCCTCCTTTTTTTGAAAAGACCAAGCATTTGGTCTTATCAACTAAAAGTATGAGTTGGAGTGACTCAAGACGAGAGAAAATAGTGTCGAGGACGGATTGCAAGTACGCCTATATAGGGCTAGATCAGAGTTGGAAGTAAAAATGATGAGATCGTCAGCATAGCCCAAAATTGAGGTGTTCTCAGGAAGGAAACTGAAAATTTTGTTAATATATAAATTAAAACAAAAAGGACTCACGACAAATCCCGGAGGATCACCTGTAAAAGATTTTCTTTGTACAACAACATCATCATTGCTAGTCAACATGTTCCTATAGAGAAAGACATTACATAGTAAATTACAGAATTTGGTAGAGAGATTCAAAGAGAGAAGAATAGAATTTAAGATGTTGATGTGAACAGGATCAAGGTTTGAGGTTATGTCCAGAAAGCAGTTAAAGAGAATGTGGTTCTTAGCAAACGCTGAATTTGTTGTTGACGAGGTTTTAAATTATTTCAAAAGTAAACGTGAAACGCAATATATGAGATCAACATTGGATGTAAAAAACTTACATGATGATTCTCATCAAACAAACATTGACCCATTTAATTCACAAGTTTTGCGTAATCTTCCTTTTAGCAAGAAATTTCGCTAGGATTTAATTAGTAAGCTCCAAACAACTTATTTCGCATGCCGTTGGTTCCATTTTTAGAGCATTTCTGATTCTGATACAAAAGAGAATTTGATTTTATATTAAATAAGATTGCAAACAATTAATTCGTTTAATTTAATTAATAGTCTGGTGTACTATGTACACAAGTGAACATGAATGTCATTTATGAAGTGAAACGGTAACTACCTATGTATATATTGATTGTTCATTTAGACCATATGCTCGGTCGCAGAGTATTAGGCGCAGTTGCCTTATTTGTGCATTATGATAATTGTGTAATAGAATTTTAGTCAATGGCGGGCTTATCGCAGATGTAGCAATCATCGGACTATAGTGTGTATATACTTATAATAGTAGTGACTTTTCTTAGCTTTCTTGCAACACATGTTCTATTTCTTGGGTTTTTTCTTAATTTCTATTTAATTTTCTACAGGCGACTCCCGTTACGGAAATGTTGAAAGATTTAGACCTGACCTCTAGGGCCCTATACGTTTTTCCGACGAGCAAAGGCGCGAATATTTTTTGACTAATCATTATTATTATTATGATTTATTTAGACCGAAAAACTAATATCTAGGATTAAAAATAGGATAGCCTGTAGCAACTAAGACTATCGAGTCTCTTATTAGATGTAGATTGCTGAAAAATTTTCGACCTGAAATTAAATATGTGAGCAACTATCCACAAAAGCTGAGGGGTGTGTTTGTACGTACATTGGTAAGTATTTACTAAAATATAAGCCATTCTAGACGAATATCCGTTGTTTATCAGTTGGGTTAGTAAGACGTAAACGTTCTTTTGAAGATTGCAAAATATTGAACCGCCGTTGAATATTTGCTGTCGGAAGATAATAGGCCTACACACGTTATAAACTAGTTCGCCGCTACGTGCGAAAATTTTGCGTCATTGTTTACTAAGATGAAATTTTGAGTAACTGATGAAATGTGAAACATGACCCTGCCAGTTTGGGTGACAAAGAATCTTGAAAGATATGCAAAAATTTTTACCACTGACGAAAACATCGCTTACATTCACTACATTCGCTGAATCCGTCAAATTAATGTTACCTACACAGCTGACATACATAGAGATATATGTGAGAATAGGCAAGCTGACCGCATTGACACTTGGTTGCGCCATTTGCTCACAGAAGAAAACCATTGAGTCACTTGGTACTTCCAAATAAGCTGAATTCTGATTTGATGCGGAATCTTGAAAATTCCTTTTACCGAAAAGGGGTACGTTCGTGAATAAGGTCGAATTCCACAAAAAAAATATCTTTTTTCTACTTAAGACGACAACGTTTCAGGCAACCACCGTATATAGGATTACATGAACATAAAAATGAAAACATAAAATTTACTTAAATGGTTCTCACGTAACTTTCCCTATTACAGGCAGGGAAGCTTTATAATATTTCGCTCATTCTATTAATAACGCACTGAATACTTGCATACTTGAATCAAAGCCTAAAACTTGAAACTTGATCAACCACAAAGGATGAGTTTAAAACGTGGCGCTATTCGCGTATTTTTTACAATCTCTTAGTTTTTTTTTTAATCGGGATGAATACATCTTCAAGTACGGGAAGCGTATGAGCATTATTCCTAAGGTACTTCAATGTTTTCTTTAACATCGATGGGCTTAAATACTTTTCCGAACCGCCACATCATACATGAAACGAAAGAATGGATGATTGAAAATTTTATCATTATAGCCTACCACTTAGATCCTCTGTACATTTTTCTAAAACAATCGGCCGAACTGCCATACGAAGACAGTCAGGTTTCTCTGGTATGTTGTGACTGTGTTTCTTGTTACTTTGCAAGTGCTGAGAATTTGTAATTTAGTGGATCACAGGCTGATTAATAATTCGGACGCGCATTTTTTTAGATATAACTACAAAACCAAACAAATTTTAAACGTTTATTGAAATTTTTCCCGACAGTGTTTTCACATACAACTCCGTTTCGTTCAAAAAGATTTTCGCAAGTTCTTCATGTCATTAGCGTCATTGCATCATAGAAACTAATTACAATCTTCCTTTCCACTTTCCTTTTTTGGCTTTTTGGCTTCTGCATCAATTATTTTCTTTGCTTGCTCAACACCTTTCTGAATTTCCTTATCTAAAGTTCTCATACACTGTTCTAAATACAGTTTCTCGTCTGCATCTAATTCCGGAAGCTTGAGCAACTTTTTAATGCCTTTTGCATTCAATTCAAATGATGATGAGAAGTATGGTGATTTTGTCAGTTCTGAGGGTACCAGTGCAGTTCCGCTAGCGGGAGCATTTTCCAAGCCCGCCAGGAGAGCATCGCAAAGCATTTTGGCTGCATATGCTACGGCAAGTTGACAAGTTCCCTTGCCTTTTTTGGCTTCAAGCACAGCTTCGCCTCCTTTCACAATACGATTGTAAATCTCCTTTTTAAGTTCCTCTTCCATATCAAGAGGAGGTTCTATACCCGATAATACCGGGACTATAGTACTTCGGGAATGACCTCCTATTACTGGTATTTTAGTCTTTTGGGGATTTCTCATAAGGGCGTCGCCCACAAAAACACTAGCCCTCACTGAGTCCAGAAAACTCATTCCGAATAAACGTTTCGGATCGTAGACATTTTTACTTTTTAATATCTCTGCAGTTAACGGTACGAACGAATTGACAGGATTGGTTATAATAACAAACATAGCGTCCGGGCATACTTCAGCGGCCTCCATAACAATCTCACCAACTATGCCCACGTTTTTTTCGAATAAAGAATCCCGACTTGCTTTAATGTCTGTACGGACAGCACCCGCTGCAATGACCAATATTTTGGAGCACATTAGACTTTTTCGCAACTGATCTTTCCCAGCAAAGGTATGGACAGCTGAATAAGTGTCTATATGTGACAAATCCGCAGCTAACCCCTTAGTATCCTCTAAATCGTATAGACCAAGATCACTCACGCGAGTATTCGTTTTAACGAACATAGCCAACGCTTGACCTACACCACCAGCAGCACCTGCAATGGTCACTCGGCTCGCAAGTGCGACCGTCATAGATAAATTACGTTTTGACATCGATATATTGAAAAAAGTTCCAGCAAATTGTCTTAACATTTCTTTGTGAAAAATTATTTTTTTTACAAATAAATATTAAAATTATATTTTTGTATTTGAGTGTTCATCCTCAGATTAATAAAAATAAAGAGTGAATTTTATTCCAGTGATTGTCGATAGAATTTATGAACAAAAATATTTTTGAATGGTTTTGAAAACTAGATTGAACAGGTAGACAATTCAAACGAATTTAGATTAAATTGATAAATATGTTTGATATAAGTATACGGCTTATCATTAAGGAAAAATATTATGCCGGCCTTATTCCGAAGTCTGCTTAAGAGTAACCATGTGAAAAGTAGAACGAAGTTTGCTGATGGCATTGTATATGCCTAATTAACAACATTTTTTCATACAACTTTTACACAGTCCTAATAGATTTCAACCAAAAATTGTAAAATGGACGTTTTCTTTTGCTGTCTTGGCTTGATTAGTTTGTGGTCATCAACTGGAAAAGGTGGTCTTTAGTTTCCACTTTATATTTCAATTACTGCGTCTTTGCGAGCTCTAATAAAAGATAGCATAAGAGCACACACCAACAATGGCGAATATAGCTGAAAAGACATAGGTATATATTGTAAGCTCTTTGACGCACATATCTTTGGCCAGCAGTCTATTTCTTGCTAGACTTGGCCCCTGTTTCAAAACATTTTGGGAGAATGTTTCTTAGCCTGCCCTATTCCTTTTCTAAGGACTGACGCTATCCATAGGCGGCAATTTTAAAATTTCACACACACCATTGTAAATTGTAATAAGAAATATGATGCATTTGTGGCAAAAAGTAATTTAGTTGTTTAATTAATGCTGAGTTGAGCAGAATCTTTTCCTTCTTTTGCTTTGATCACGACGTCGTCAGCCTTTTTAATACGTTAACAAATCGCTGCCTTATTCTCGGCGCAAAGACATAAAGCACGTTCATTATGTATTAATATTGCTACAATAGAGTGTCCCCCCTACTATAGGGATCTCAATCGATCTTCAATCCCTCCTACAGCCTCAGCTGCGTTTGCCCGCAACGTGTCCAGCAAGAGCAAACTGAATAAACGTTTCGGATCGTACTCATTGTATTTTCTTAATACTTCTGCAGCAAATAGTAATAGTGAATTGACGGGAATTGTTATTATAACAACTACCGCTTTCGGACGCGCGACTGATTTTTCCTATTTTCGAAATAAAATTTTTTGTTGAATACGTGCGTGCGTTGTAGGCCCGTCCTTTGATAAATTTAAGTCTCCTCCAAATATTTTTGCAAATTTGTAGGCGAAAAGTTCATTTTCTCTAACAGGAGAATGTTTACCACAGATACTATGCAGTTGGGCAAACGGACAGATCGAGAAACGAAAAGACGGACATGTTTAAGTGCATTCCAAATTCGAAACTAGCGAAGAATTTATACACTTTATGGGATTTTTGAAGCTTGTTCTACGCGCTATATAGATATTAAAAAAAATTTAAATTTTGATACGCTATAATATTGGGTAGGTGTGATCAATATTTGTGCAAATATGACAGTATCACCCATAGAATATCCGATCAAATTTTTGTACATTTGTCTGCTATATGAGTAAGAAGCAAACGACCAATTTTTTATTTCTTTCGGAAAACAGATATATTCTCAATTCACGTGGCATTGTGGGCGTGTCCTTCGACCGATTTACCCCGTTTTTAATACAAACCTGGGTCCAAGGACTTCAAATGTTTCTGCCAAATTTGAAGTCGAAAGTGTCATTAGTGGCCAGGAGAACGTTCTCAACAGGCGTTACACCGACTCAAAGACAGACATGTTCGAATCGATCCGGAATCCGAAGTTGTGCAAGGATATGTACGCTTTGTGGAGTCTTTGAAACTTCCTTCTTGGCCTGGAACACGTTTTGACCAATGAATATACCTCTCATCCTTCGGTGCTGTGTATAAAACTGTTTATAATTAATCATAAAATATCATATATATCAAGGAAATAAGCTTGTCTCAGTTATCAAATAGGAAAGGAAGCAGTAATGATATGATTTGAACATTTATGGGCACGTAATGTGTCAATAATTTAATTAAAAATACATTGAGCGTAAACTACCGCTAACTCTTGTCAAACAAGGTAAAGATCAATTACGAGATCATCGCAAACAATTAGCAAATATTAAAAAAACAATAATTTCAGTTTGAGTCAAAGATTTTAATACGAACTTAATTGCTTCCTTCTAAATTTTACTTAAATAAATATATTGCAATATTAAGGAAATAGAAAACATTATTAATTCATTACTATTGGTTGGAAAAGTGGGCGAGTTTATGGACACACTTAACTGATTTTCAAACTTAGTCCGGCGAAAGGGATGAAGA